TATTTTAAAATTGCCGGTAGATACAAACAACAGTACTGTGGATATCGTTCCGTTATTCTATCGCTATGTACATACGGAAAAATCAGTCTCAGTAATAACGGAACGTTCTTAAAGCTCTATTAAATGATGTCATAGGCGCCAGTTCACTTGCAGTGAATATCGGAACGCACCCTCTATCTCCCTTAGCGCAACGATCATAACATAAATGATAGGAATGCGCGATATTAATCGATTAATCGATACGTTCGACAGTTTTTGTTCAAATAATCGATTATTAATTGCCGATGTTTTGAAATATATCGATATTCGGTTTTTTTTGTAAATATCGAAAGTCTGCGCTATTTACAGTAGCAAATTTAAAATAGTTAAAATTTTAATGAAGCTTTAAGAAATTGTCCAATCGTAGTCGATTATTCTTCTCAGTTCTCACATTTGACTGCTCAATTTCTTAAGTCTTAAGGCTAATTACATTATCTTTGTGTATTGTGGATAGGGTCTTATGTTACGCTTTTAATAGCTTACGTTCTCTGCTGAACATACTTTATATTACTACAACGTTAGTATATTATTTTATAAAGGTATTAGTATAAAAGAAAATTGTTAATATCAAAAAAATAATAAAAATTATCAGTTTTTTAAAATTAAAAAAAAACAAAATCGATATGATCGCGCAACAAATTGACACGCAATAGACAAACTTGCAAAGCAAATACGCTTATTATCTCAAGCGGGGAAGACGCAAGATCTGCGTCACGCTTCCGCGGTCGAGTCCGCTGATCTTTGTGACGAATTGCAAAAAGACATCACAACATATTATAAAAAATAATATAAGTCTAAGTTTTTAAAAATATTTTTGTTCTAAATATCGATTATTCGATTCTTTTTTTGCAATAATCGATACTTAATTTTGATTTTTTTCATTTTTATTGATTCCTTTGATCGATTTTTTTTTCAATATCGCGCATCCCTATAAATGATCGACAAGACTTCCGCCTGGCAGACTATCGCACCCCCCCCCCCCTCTTCCCCAATTGGATCGTTTCCGGATTGCCCTAGCCCTCCTGTGACCTTCGCGAATAGCGTGAATTGGCTATACATCGCGTAGCAACAAATTCTTAGCGGGGAACTCAAATTGAGCAGGAACGTCTCGTGCAAGCTCGCCGGTCTTTTTTCCGTCGTCCGAAAATCCATGATAGTTCAGTGTGAGCAACTGAATTTTCGCTTTCTAGAGTCCGTAATATTTTCAGTCAAGGACTTCTCTTGGCAGCCCTTATCGCGGTTTTTCTTCCGGTTATTGCAAGGTCATTGCGACATCCGTCAACTGATTAATTTGGATCTCTGTAATATGCAGTCACGGCAATATCGGGCTCAAAACATAGCGGAAGCAAATAAAAGAGCGATACAATCTGCGTTCTCCTGCCCCTCCGGGCCATGGTCCGGAACTCTATCGATATCCATGTTGTTCTCTCTCTCTGGCATCCTGCCAATTCGGTGAGATGACACAAATACAAAGTGTAGTCATTTAACCACCGATTTTCACTTGCAAATTCTAATGTAAAGAACTTTTACGTTCTTATACAAAAAATGGTCGCGCAACAAATTGACACGCAATAGATAAACTTGCAATGCAAATATATGCTTATTATCTCAAACGGGGAGCACGCAAGATCTGCGTCACGCTTCCGCGGTCGAGTCCGCTGATCTTTGTGACGAATTGCAAAAAGATCACAATATTTTATAAAAAATAATATAAGTCTAAATTATTAAAAATATTTTTGTTTTAAATATAATATATACATATGTATATTTTATGTATATAGAATTATATATAGATATATGTATATATGTATATATACGTAAAATAAACACACACACACACACACATACACATCTATAAAATATATGCATTATATTTAAAACAAAAGTATTTTTAATTATTTAGACTTATCGCATTATTTTTTAAAGCGCGTGCATTATTTATGTACGACATTTTCACGTTAGACGAAGGATTTGGAAATATAAACGCGCAACAGAGATGTTTAAAGTACAGTTTATTTTAATTAAATAATCCACGAGAAGAGAAAGTTAACGCGCCGTCGGAATAAGTATCTTCCCTTGGATTTTCTAAGAAATTTTTAACACGCGATGTGTGTGCGTGATCTGTCGGCATGATAGAATTCCTATTGCTGGTGATACAAAGGAGGAGAGGGAATCATCCGCGTTGTGCGGAGGATCTAATTTTAGATAAGGGGTAGAGAGTGCACAGTAACAACTGAATTTACGAGTACGTTCGCTATTTACCTCATGCTCGTTCTTTCGCGCAGCTTACGCGACATTATTTTCACGAAATTAACAGATCGCGAGCTCCTCTCCGAACAATTCGATCCTGCTGCGAGAACGAAAAGCCGAATCCCTTACGACGCGTTACAACTACAATTTCTATATCTGACAAAACCTCTTTAAAGGTAACGCATGGAAATGCTCTGTTTGGGAGAGCTTCCGACGTTATTACAGCGTAACAAACGTAATCTTCGCGTGATACGACAGCTGTATCGCGCGAATGTATTCCATCCTCTTTAAGTTGAGCCTGTACATATCTGTACGTATCTCGCGTCTCTATCCGATTTCCGTAAAGGAATACTAAAAATAGAAAAAAAACTTTTCTCGCAAATGCAACGAAAGGGATACTAGCAAATTTAGATTTTCGCGAATATACTTTCTTTGTCCTCCCTCGTCTGATGCTCATTCTTCGTCTTCACTATTTTAAGGGGAATGTTAATAATAAATAGAAGTAATATATGCGCGATGAGACTTTTCAAATGAATAATTTATTCGAATTCGGATTTATTCGAGGCGCATTCGCTACGTCAGTGCGAGAATATCGGAACCTCGGATACGGGATGTTGCACAAGGCGAACGGCGCGGCGAGAATGCACGTGCACGCGGAGGGGGGGGGGAGGGGAGGGCAAAGAATTTCGGCGGGATATCACGAGGGATTTAATTTTAACCGTCACGACGATCCCGCGGGTACATATGAAAACTCCAAAAAAAGGAAAGGATGTCGATATGACGAGATAGCTTTATTTGACGGCAGTGAGTAAGTGCGTACACGAATTTCGAGGGGTCGCAACAATAGTCTCGACAGCCGCGCACCAAATATTAACCGGAGGGTGAAGCCGGTGAAGCGGTGCTCTTCAAAGATTCATGGATCCGTGAAAATGATCCGCTCGTTTTCCCCTTCTTCGTATTAGAGTGTATCATCCTCAACGACGCTTTTTCAACGTGGCATAAAGTAAATTGGTCTCCGACGAAGTGATAAAAAAAATTCCGAGACAATTTTGTGTATCCAAAAATCTTGCTTCTAGTTTAAAAAAACACACTTTCCACAAGTGAAAAATATCCATTATACAAGTCCATCATTTTCAGATCGCGACAAGTTTTGATGAACTTTAATAAATATGCTTTAACAACTAAATAGAGATTTGCAATGTGATACGTGTGACACAAAATAAATCGTGTAATTATAATTCTACATATAATCATATATAATTACATAATAATAATATTTATCGCAACAAACAATGCGTCTTAAACAAAGTATCATTTTTCCATCAATATAGAAAAGACTATAATTATAAGTAAATAACGATTGATATAAGTTTTGGTCATACAATAATTCTCTATTATTAATATATAATAATTATTGCACATTTCTTTTGAAATCATTATCTACATTTCAACTTTTATACAAGATTTTATCTTTTCAAATTTCAAAACATAATATTAGGTATACTAGATATTATTAGATAATATTATATAACAATACAAGTACATTATTATATTTCGAAATTTAAAAAGATACATAATTTTGTATAAAATTTGAAGTGTAAAAGGTAATATATATATATGTATACTGATTTGTATCCAAGCTTTGTCTTCTAAATCGTGTACATGTAAGTCTGACAGTTGATATCAATATGATATTATCAAATCAGAAGGAGAAAGACTAACATGACAGTAACATAACGATATTTTTATTTGCTTGTTCAATTAATTTCTGGCGGACGTTCGTCCGAAAGTTACCGAAATTAAAATAGTTTTATCGCATATAACTGCGCGATCGAAGTCGTCACATGGACTGGCTGGATTCTCTGCGCGAGTTTCACATAATTTACAGACCGCTGATCACCGACCGCTATTCCGATATCGGATTCGGATTTAAGTGCGTCTGAACGTTTGGCGACGGTGTGTGCAATAAAAGAAGATTCCACGATTTGGACATACGGCGAATACTACGGATTTGTGTATGTGGAATTCTACATATCCAAATTAATTATCTAGAACAAACAGTGACTGCCAGCAACATTATGAATTTTCATTTGCTCTTTCATTTTTGCAATATATACATACGTATACATATATTTTAAATCTATACCGTACGTTATGAATAACATGTGGTATTTATATTATGAAAAATATTAATATATAATATTTTGCTTTAACGTTAAATCTTTAAGAAAAATTTAAATTTAAATTATTTTGTAGGTACGATTTGCTCAATATGTAAATAATGTATGAAAAAATGAAATTTTTCTGAATCAATAAATTTGATTTTTAAACCTGATTTGTTTTATTTAGAATGGGAATGATTTGTGATCGATAAATATTAAGAGTGGTTAATCATAACTTATTAATAATAAAAAAATTAATTAAAGTCGAAATACCACTTT